CAGGAAGGAAAGCTGAGGTTGGATATTAGATGAACTCTCTCACTAGGAGGGTGGTGAAGCACTGGATCAGGTTCCCCAGAGGTGGTGGAGTCTCCATCCTTGGAGGTTTTCAAGACCTGGCTAGACAAAGCCTTGGCTGGGTGATGTAGCTGGGGCTGGTCCTGCTTGGAGCAGGGGGTTGGAGTAGATGTGAGCCCCGAGGTCCCTTCCCACCCTCAGTTTCTGTGATTCTGTCTCTCTGATGTTGCCGTGGCCTCCTTTGCTGTGGGGGTCAGGCCTCTGCCTGGGGGCTCCTGAGTGCATTTTAACCAGCTCCTCCCTGGCGTTGTGCAGCAGGGGTCAGACACGGCTGGTCCTGCCCTGAGCCGGGGCTGGACCAGAGGGAGAAGAGGGGAAGGAGCCCCTTGGCTTGAACGGCTTGGGACAGAATCAGATGCTGCTTGGACACCGCAGTGGGGGGGGCAGGATTGGGCCCAGGGCCCCTCTCCAACTGCTATGTACAGCGCCGCGCACGGCTTTGTGATGTCATGCCCGTGTCATTCCATCGCCACGGAGAGCGGGGGGGGCAGGTATAAATACCAGCGCCGGGTTCTGCCTGGTCAGTCTCGGCTCAGCCAAGACACTCACCGGTGTGCATCGGAGAGTGAGGGGGTCATTGGCTTCGTAGTGAGGAGCTGGTTACGTTGGAGTTGACATAGTAGCAAGTTCGAGGATATTAGATAGAGAGAAGGAGTTCAGATTGGAGATAGATATACCTAGTTTAAACCTCAGACAGTTAGGATAGGAAATAGGGTAGCTAGGGTAGGCCCAGTGTGACTGCTCGGGGCGCCTCTGCCCCGGGCCCCAGGCCCTTTCCGGAGCCTCAGGCTGAAAAGATGGCATTGCCAAGCCTTGCTAGACCGGCTAAGCAGCCTGTGGTGCCCTCAGTGCCCAAGCCCCAGCCAGCACAAGGCCCCTCGAAAACCACACTCGTGGTAGGTGATGGGGTGTGAAGAGCCAGAGTCCTCCCGCGGCGCCTGGGCACAGGAGCTTCTC